TGCCTATCATCAATTAAGCATCTCAGTAAGGGCCTCTTTCCAAGGCTACAAATATTCCTGTCCCAACGCTTGTGGTTGAGCAGGGCCAGATGGAGAGGGTAGCGTGTTACTTCTCTGCTGTTCGGCCCTTACGCCCTTTGCAGAGAGGAGCCTGCTCAGGGCATTTTCCTGTGAATTGTGTGATTATGACTCCAACCTTGCAGAACCTTGACAGGGAGCAAAGCGTCCTGGGTTTTCATCAGGTGCTGCCAGTGGGTCTTTTCCATCTGACATATTAATTCCTGCCTCTTCCTGTAAAGATAATTCATGCTTCTTGGTGGCATTGTGCAGCGCACAATGCGGGTGCCAGGAATCTCCTGCAAACTTCAGCAGGGCTGCATTGTAATGTGCCACTAGATTAACCCAGCCATCTAAAATGCATTTTTAAAAAGCCAAAGGTCCTTCCCATGAATAACATGGTAAGTATTTGAGCTTCATTATAATTTCCCTCTAATGGAGTTTGGGGAAATGAAATGGGAGTTATTAGCCAGATTTATAAGGCTGTTGCCTGAGAAAAAAGGGATGAAGAGGGGCTGACTTAGCAGACAAGGTGCATTGGCTATTTGGCCACATTGGCCCACAGTTTGCAAAGATGGAAAATATCTTTACCTAGCAAGCACTATTCCTGTGCTTTCAACTGAAGGCTAGCTGTGCTTTCCTAATCTGAGGAAGCAGTGCACATACATCTGCCAGCGGCCCCCTCTCTGTGTCTGAGTCTTGGATTCAACACCCCACTCTCAGAGCGAGTGCCTCATATCAGTGATTCAAATGACTATGCATGAAAACTCTACCGCTGGTCTTTGGAGGGTGGAAAACCACTTCATTCAAGTGCAGACACACAAAACTCACCCATGGGTCTTTGGAGGGCAGAAAACACCTTCATTCAAGTGCAGACACACATGTTGTATTGGAAATGGCTGGCCAAGGTTCCCGAAGGAGGAGGAAGCATATGCCCTCCAAATGAAGTCAAGAAAGGATCTGTTGCCTGGAAGAGACAGGCCTGGTGAGGTGAGAGCCTGGGTGCTCTAAGCAGCCAGAGGACATCCCGCAGCCACCGGGTAACCCGTGAAGGCGAAGAGAGCTTCTAGTGGTGGGCAGGAACTGCCAGGCCTGCAGTGCGGCTGTGTTCCACATGTCCAGGGTATACCAGCTGCCTCTGCGCTGCCTTTAGATGAGCAACCGTGATGCTGATGTTCTTGTTAAGGAACTGCATTGTTTTGCTAGGGCTTCCACAGCAAAGCGCCACAGGCTGGGGGGGTGGCTTACCCAACGGAAGTCTGCTTTCCCACCATTCGGGAAGCTGGAAGTCCAAGATCAAGGTGTGGGCAGGGTTGGTTTCTCCTGGGGCCTCTCTCCTTGGCTGGGAGGTGGCCGCCTTCTTGATGTGTCCTCACGCGGCCTTTCCCCGTGCAAGCTCATCCCTGGTGTCTCTTCTTCCTGTTACAACGCAGTGGTATTGGATGACGACCCACCCCAATAACCTCATTTTAACTCAATGACCATTTTAAAGATGCTGTCTCCAAAACAGTCACATTCTGAGGTCCTGAGGGTTGGGACTTCAACAGATGTATTTGTAGGAACCAGATTCAGCCCATAGCAGGGACTTTTAGACTTTTTATTTATTTATTTATTCATTTATTTTTATTTATTTTTTTAATTTTTATTTTTTGAGACAGAATTTTGCTCTTGTTGCCCAGGCTAGAGTGCAGTGGCACGACCTCAGCTCACTGCAACTTCCGCCTCCCGGGTTTAAGTGATTCTCCTGCCTCAACCTCCTGAGTAGCTGGGATTATAGATGTCAGCCACCATGCCTGGCTAATTTTTTGTATTTTTAGTAGAGATAGGGTTTCATCATGTTGGCCAGGCTAGTCTCGAACTCCTGACCTCAGGTGATCCACCCACCTTGGCCTCCCAAAGTACAGGGATTACAGGCATGAGCCACCATGCCTGGCCAGACTTTTATGATAACAATGTTCATTTAAAGCCATAATTGTCACTGAGTGCCGGGTATTTATTGGACGTCACCTGCATCCTCAAAACTGACATGCGAGGCAGATAGCATTATTGTTCACACTTCAGATATTAAGAAACTGAGGCACACTGCCATGAAGCACCTCATCTGGTTGGTGGCAGGACTGTACCCATCCCGTAGGCTACCCGAGCCTGTACTTTCGATCATTCTGTCTCATCATTCTGCCTCTTCTCCTGTGTTTGTGGCAGAAAAATGTGCACACTCTAGAAGAGAAGAAGGAAAAGAAAACCCATCCACAACTCCACTCATCTGGTCTTTGTACATAGATGTGGATTGTGTGACATACTCCGTTTTCCTGTCCTCATTCCTCCTTCACACCAGCTAACATCTTTGACACAGCATTATTGGTGGCAAGACTGAAAGAGAGCTGTGGGGATTTAAAAACTGTGTCTGCAGCCAGGCGCAATGGTGGCTCACACCTGTAATCCCAGCACTTCGGGAGGCCGAGGCGGGCCGATTACTTGAGGCCAGGAGTTTGAGACTAGCCTGGCCAACATGGTGAAATACCATCTCTACCAAAAATACAAAAATTTGCCAGACGTAATGGTGCAAGCCTGTAATCCCAGTTACTCAGGAGGCAGAGGCAGGAGAATTACTTGAACCTGAGAGGCAGAGGTTGTAGTGAGCGGAGATCAGGCCACTGCACTCCACCCTAGGTAACAGGGAGACTTCATAAAAAATGAAAAAAAAAACTGAGTCTGCAAAAAATAAAAGCATGGGACAGTGTTTAAGGATACAGGGTTGGGTGTAAGAAGCAGGTTCCTTCGCAATGTGTGCAGTACGAGCCCAATTTAAAACAAAACAAAACAAAAATTATCACCAGAATTCTAGGTAGATCTCTGGCTACTGGGCCTACGGGCAGTATTCATTTTCCTTCTATATCACCTATATGTGTTTCCCATATTTTTCAAAAATGCTATAATGAGCATGTAGACACAATGACCTCTGAGAGCAGAAATGAAAACAATAAACGTCATAAGAGAAAAATTAAACCGTGCTGGCTTACAGCACCACAGGTCCGATTCACTGATGCAGTCTCCATTCTGGAAGATTTCTCTGTTTGTGCCCAGAAGGGAAAACAAAGGCAGCAGACGGAGTCGGTGAGGAAATCTATTGGAAACAACATCCTGAGTGAGGAAAGCGACAAAAGAGCCACCTCCCTAAAAGCAGCCCAAAGTGGCCATTCAAATAGTAAAAATGACGCAGGCATTTGGAAACAAAGTCCCAGCTTGCAGTCGGAGCTTCCTGAGCCAGTGAAAACAGCGAGTGCGGAAGAGGAAGCTCAGGCTGCCCCGTGTCCCCAGGGCCCACGGCTGCCACCTTTGCCAGGACCCCTGGGGGCTCAGAGAAAGCTCCATTCTTCTCCTCCCAGTGGAGGGTTAGCCCCATGCCCCAGGTGCCCAGCAGCCTGGTGGGCATGCCGAGATTCGCCTGTGGGGAGCAAGGCCGCCCTTGGAGGGGAACCCAGAAGTGGCCCTGGCCGGGCTGGGCATGTATTTTACCTCAGGCCACCTGCTTCCTGCTGGGCGGCATGGTCAGGAGCCAGCGAGGCAGACACAATGGGCAAGACCCACGTCACTTTCTTAGGGGAAGAAAATTACTCTTTGTGGACCAAGAGATCAGGACAGGATATCTATAAGTGTTTAAAGAAAAGCCCAGTCTGCAGTCCCCTCCCTCCCCAAGCACTTCCGAAATGTCCCGCAACACGCCTGGCTCTTTAAATATCCAAACCCAGAATAAATGTGCACGCAGCATTTCCCCCAGCAACAGGTCCACGCGGCTGCCAGCTGAGTCACAGATGTCAGAGCTGGGCTGGGCCTCTGAGATCACCAAGTTCAGGCTAAGAGCAGAATGACCAGCTCTCGGTGCCTCTTCCCTGTGAAGACACCTACTGGCTGTGTCACTGCTAGACACCTGTCCTCTCCCAGCGTCTTCTTGGCCTGTGCCCTTAGTAACCATTCAACCACCCAGCCTAGGCTGCTAGGGCCACTGGATGCTTTTCAATGAGATTCTGAGTCTAGAGAGGCAAAAGGACTCGCCGCATTGCACAGCTTGTTCCTGATGGAGCTGGAGCCGAAACCTGGTGTGACTCGCCTCCTCCAGCTCTTTCCTGGACTCTAATGGATCTCTTGGGTCTGATGATTGTTTTGTAGGGCCATCCTGTGATGGTGTGGGTGATTGCTATAGATTAGAAGCTGTTGAATGTACTTTCTGTAAGATCCCTCCAGATAGGTTTAGACAGGCATTTCTCTTAAGTTTTGGATTTTTATCAACTTGGACTATATCTGTGGTTTGGTTTAGTTTTTCATAAAAATTCTTTTTGGCCTCTGGCAAAGATAACTCCTACCAGACCTCAAGACGTGAAACAGATACAAGTAGAGCTGATCTGGCTGGAGCGGGAGCAAAAGCCCAAAGCTCCCTCTTCCACAGCCTCCTTCTGCTGGACACCCCCATGTGTCCTGGGACTCGGAGCTCTGAGCAATTGTTTGCAAAGCACTGGGCCAGTCAGTATCTGATGGAGTTGCTCATATCTGAGAATCTCTGACTTGTGATTATGTGATGTGGATAATGAAGGAAATGTCCCCAGGTTCCTACCCTATACTCTACCAAACTTGGCAGCATAGAGTAGCAAATAAGGATGACCTGACAGGTGTGCTGAATTTAAATGGACCGAGGGGTCATCAGTGAAATGTACGCCCAGGGGTCATCAGTGAAATGTACGCCCAGGGGTCATCAGTGAAATGTCCAAGCCCAAAATAAATCATTTATTCTTTCATTCTGCCAACAAAAATGGACTGCTAAGCACACCAGATTATATGCAGGAAAGTAATCACAGCCTTTATTCTTAAGGAGGTTTGGGTTTTATGTAAGAAAATCTGACATATAAATACAAAGAAAATTTAAATACTTCCAATACAATGTTTTTCAGATTTTCATGATCAAGAGCCACCCTTTCCAGCAAGAATCACCACCAATGGCTTCATGGAAGAAGTGGCATTTGAAGAATAGTATGATTTTGACAAGTGGAGCTGGGAGAGGAGGACACTTCTGAATAAGGAAGCAGCATGTTCAAAGGCCAGGGGGCCACTTGGTTGCACAGGCTGAACCATATTCACCTCTAGGAAGCCATTCAGGTAACCGTGTGGAATTGGCCACATGGCAGCCCTGCTGGAAAGCACAGGTGTGTTCAAGAAAGTCTGAGCTTGGGGAGACCGTGGGAGGGATCTGAAAGGGGAATGAGAGAGATCAGGTAGGGATCAGGGGACGGAGGGCCTGGAACACTAGGCAAAGGCACCATGGCTCTACTCTGCACACAGTGGGAGGTTGCTAAGCATTTCTGAGCGGGTAAATTACAACAGTGTCAAGCTTTACGAAGCTGGACCTAGCCATGGTATGAGGGTGAAATGGGAGGAGGGATGGAAGGCCAGGACATGGTTGAAAATACTGCTGCAGTAAAGGGGACAGGGAAGGGACCAACGGTTGTGAGGAGGTGGTTGGTACACCTGGAAAAGAAGGGATCAGTGCAAAAAAAAATTTTTTTAAGTCCCAGGAAAATCAACCAGACTTCACAAATAACTGACTTGGAGATCAGAGGAGTGGAACAGTCAGAGGGACTAGTCAGCCTGTTCTGGGAACCTGGGGAAAGAGTGGGGATCTTTTGCACTTTTAGGGGAGAGCACAGGGGTTTGTGGCTGGTGAGGCAAATGAGAAGTTCGATTTTAGGCCTGGGATGCCTGAGATGTTGGAGAGAGAGCCAGTTCATTGTGCCAGTCTTTATGTCACCCCACACACCCATGTGCACAAACTCCTCTTAGTGTTGACAGTGAAACAGTCTGACTTGGAAGGAGGGTTATCAATTCCAACAGGTCCCATACTACATTTCCTTCATCTGATTTTCTCCCCTTCTTCTCTCCTCCCTAGGGAACACAGAGCTCAACGTGAGAGAAAGCCAAAAATGCAACTTCCCTGTGGCAAATATGGGCAACAATTAGAAGTGCAAGGAAGGGGAATTCCCCCGGTCCCATATTTTCCAGCTGAGCTGTGATAGTCAGGGTAAACAGTGACAAAAATAATCACAGTTGCTTGCTACTTGGAATATTATTATCTGAACAGTTGGTGGATAGGAACTGTTTTTAAAACAGTTATCAAAACAAACCCAGGGAGAACATCTGTGGGGCCACGGGCCTGTGAGCCAGCTGAGGAAGGAGGCCATAACCCAGCAGCCTCTCTATCAAGTGTCCTTGCAGGGCAGGCAAGGGGACATCCCAAAGATGGTCAGGGTGGGGTGGGATGGCCCAGGGCGAGAGGAGGCAAAAACAGGAAAGCAAGGGTCTGGCATGCAAACCAACTCTGAGCAACATACAGAAATGCAACTTCTAGAAACAAGGAGGCATAGGTAACGCGGGACCTCGAGCAGTGATGGGAGGGCGGGGTGGCTGCGGGCTCCCCTGCAATCGCTTTAGGGCTGGTGAAATCTGCAGTGAAAACATCACATGCTATTTACAGCCATAAGTTGACAGCCGTGTTATTTAGTATGACGTTTATAAAAAATAAATGGTAGGCAGTCTTTTCCTTCCTTGCTTCTCCGGCCATGGAAGAAAGGTTTTTAGGTGCATACTTCTCTGCTTTGTTTCGCTTATTTTCCTTTTTAAAAAATGTAACGAATGAGGGCAAGGATAACAACTGTTTATTATCTAAAAGCTCGAATGAGGCCCAGGCTGAGGGACCTGAACTTCCTGGAGAGAAAAGACAGGGAACTAGAGGGTGGGCGCCACCGTGGGAGAGCGTGTCCCGAAGCCCGGATCCCTCCTTTCCTTCTCGTTGACCTGGGGCAGGGAACAGCTTTCAAAACAAAATTCTTACAGGGGTTTTGTTTGAGGTCTTTGTGTGTGGTGAGTTCTTTTTTAAGTAGAGAAAGGATTTCCACTGGCAGAATTGCTTCCCCCCCTCTATTCTGGTCCCCTAATCCCTTCAATAAACCTTATAAATGCTCCCCGACTTTCTCTCTTCGGTCTCCCCATTGTGTAGGGCGCTTGCGTAACAACTAATTGCACGCTATGGTTGAAGAATAAGGGGCGGGTTTGACGTTTGGGAGGACAAGTTCAATTAAAGAAGGGAATGGAGATTATTTGAATGCCCTCTGGGCTGCAGATCTAAGGCCAATTTTATTAGTAATTCTCCACTCAGTTTTATTAGTCACAAATACGATATTTTTATCTTAAAAACAAAAGCAACTGATGGCCGATGGGCTCGTGTGCCAACTGCAGCCTGGAGGTATAACGAGGGGGAGAGTGATTGGAGATCTGGCAAGAAGCCTGTCATCTTCGATGCAGAGGCTCCGGAACCGTCTTCCTCCTCTGTCCTGTCTGTGTGGGGTCCAGCACAGAGAGCCCTGCAAGCCTCCCTGAGCCACGTTCTCTCTCTCACCTCCCAGCCATGAGAAACCATGGCTTTGGGGATCCCATGGCCCCGACAAGAATGAGGAGCTCTCTAGCCAGAGCTGAAGGGATGTCTTGGAGAGGTGCGAGGCCAGGCAGCATCTCGGGAGGGCTGGGAGGCAGGAGGGCCAGGAGGGTTTCCTAAGAACCTATCATTGTTGAGGGCCTTCCTTGCCCAGCATAAGGAAAGCCTCATCTTTCAGCAATCTAAGGCTCTCCAGCTGAGTCCTTGAAAAGACCAGAGTGGAAGCAGCTTTGGAACTGGGTAATGGGTAGATGCTGAAACTGTTTTGAAGCGAATGCTGAGAAAAGCCTGTATTGCTTTGAACAGAGCATTAAGGATGATTCTGGTGAGGGCTCAAAACAAGAGAATAGATGTAGAGAAAGACTAAAACATCTTAGAGATTACCTGTGTGGTTGTGAGCAAAATGCTGGTGGGAATATGGGCAGGAAAGGCCATTCTGATGAGGTCTCAGATGGAAATGAGAGGCAAGGTATTAGAAATTGGAGGAAAGGCCATGCTTTTTATGAAGTGGCAAAGAACTCAGCTGAATTGTGTTCATGCCTGAGAGCTTTATGGAAGGCTGATATGGTTTGGCTCTGTGTCCCCACCCAAATCTCATGTCAAGTTGTAATTCCCAGTGTTGGAGGAGGGACCTGGTGGGAGGTGATTGGATCATGGGGGCGGATTTCCCCCTTGCTGTTCTCATAATGGTGAGTGAGTTCTCCTGAGATCTGGTTGTTTAAAAGTATGTAGCACTTCCCTTTCACTCCTTCTCTCCTTCTCCACCATGCGAAGAAAGTGCTTGTTTCCCCTTCACCCTCTGCCATGACCATTAAGTTTCCCCAGACCTCCCCAGCCATGCCTCCTGCACAGCCTGTGCAACTGAGTTGATTAAACCTCTTTTCTTTATAAATTACCCAGTCTCAGGTAGGTTTTTTTTTTGAGATGAAGTCTCACTCTGTCACCCAGGCTAAAGTGCAGTGGCATGATCTTGGTTCACAGCAACCTCTGCCTCCCGGGTTCAAGTGATTCTTCTGCCTCAACCTCCTGAGTAGCTGAGATTACGGGCATGTGCCACCAGCCTGGCTAATTTTTGTATTTGTAGTAGAGATGGGGTTTTACCATGTTGGTCAGGCTGGTCTCGAACTCCTGACCTTTGTGATCCACTCGCCTCAGCCTCCCAAAGTGTTGGGATTACAGTCGTGAGCTACCACGCCTGGCCTCAGGTAGTTCTTTACAGCAGTGTGAGAATGGACTCATACAGAAAATTGGTACCAGAGGAGTGGGGCATTGCTATTAAGATACCTGAAAATGTGGATGTGACTTTGGAACTGGGAAATGGGCAGAGGTTGGAACAGTTTGGAGGGCTCAAAAGAAGACAGAAAGATGAGGGAAAGTTTGGAACTTCCTAAAGACTTATTGAATGGTTGTGACCAAGATGCTGAAAGTGGTATGGACAGTAAAATCCAGGCTGAGGTGGTCTCAGATAGAGATGAGAAACTTATTAGGAACTGGAGTGAAGGTCACTCTTGCCATGCTTTAGCAAAGAGACTGGCAGGCATTGTGCCCCTGCGCCGAAGATTTGTGGAATGTTGAGAGAGATGATTTAGGGTATCTGGCAGAAGAAAACTCTAAGCAGCAACGTATTCAAGATGTGGCCTGGCAGCTCTAACAGCCTATGTTTATTTGCATAAACAAAGAAGTGACCTGAAACTAGAACTTATATGTAAAAGAGAAGCAGAGCATAAACGTTTAGAAAATTTTCAGCCTGAACATGCAGTAATAAAGAAAAACCCATTTTCTGGGGAGGAATTCAAGGCTGCAGAAATTTGCATAAGTGAAGAAAAGCCGAATGATAGTAGCCAAGACAAAGGGAAAAATCCCTCCAGGGGATTTCAGAGACCTTAGCAGCAGCCCCTCCCATCACAAGCCTGGAGGGCCAGGAGAGAAAAATGGTTTCATGGGCCAGGCCCAGGGCCCTACTGCTCTGTGCAGCCTTGAGACATGGCGTCCTGCATCCCAGCCACTCCAACTCCACCCATGGCTAAAAGGAGCCAAGGTACAGCTCGGACCACTGCTTCAGAAGGTACAAGTCCCAAGTCTTGGCAGCTTTCATGTCGTGTTGGGCCTGTGGGTACACAGAAGGCAAGAGATGGGGTTTGGGAGCCTCTGCCTAGATTTCAGAGGATGTATAGAAATGCCAGGATGTGCAGGCAGAAGTCTGCTGCAGGGGCAGGGCTCTCATGGAGAACTTTTACTAGGGCAGTGCAGAGGGGAAATGTGGGGTTGAATCCCTCACACAGTGTCCCTACTGGGGCACTGCCTGTTGGAGCTGTAAGAGGGCCACTGTCCTCCAGACCCCAGAAGAGTAGATCCACCAACAACTTGCATCATGTGCCTGGAAAAGCCACAGACATTCAATGTCAGCCATGAAAGCAGCTATGGAGACTGTACCCTGCAGAGCCACAGAGGTAAAGCTAAGACCTTGGGATCCCACCGCTTTCATCAGTGTGACCTGGATGTGAGACATGGAGTTAAAGGAGATTATTTTGGAGCTTTAAGATGTAATGACTGCCCTGTTGGGTTTTGGACTTGCAAGGGACCTGTAGTCCCTTTGTTTTGACCAACTTCTTCCTTTTGGGTTGGGGGCATTTACCCAATGCCTGTTCTCCCATTGTATCTTGGAAGTAAATAACTTGATTTTACAAGCCCATAGGCAGAAAGAACTTGCCTTGTCTCAGATGAGACTTTGAACATCAACTTTTGAGTTAATGCTGGAATGAGTAAAGACTTTGGGGGTCTATTGGAAAGGTATTAATGTGTTTTGAAATGTAAAAAGAACATGAGATTTGGGAGGGGCCAGGGGTGGAATGATATTGTTTGGCTCTGTGTCCCTACAGAAATCTCTTGTCAAATTATAATTCCCAGTGTTGGAGGAGGGACCTAGTGGGAGGTGACTGGATTACAGAGGCAGATTTCCCCTTGCTGTTCTTGTGAGAATAGTGAGGGAGTTCTCACGAGAGCTGGCTGTTTAAAAGTATGTGGCACTTCCCTTTTGCTCTCTGTCTTCCGCTCTGCCATGTGAAGAAGGTGCTTGCTTCCACTTCACCTTCCCCCATGATCCTAAGTTTCCTGAGGCCTCCTCAGCCATGCTTCCTATACACTCTGCAGAACTGTGAGCCATTTAAACCTATTTTCTTTGCAAATTACCCAGTCTCAGGTATTTTTTTATAGCAGTCTGAGAACAGACTAATACAAAGGCAGAACTTAAAGGCAATGAACTATGATATCTGGTGGAAGACATATCTAAGCAGCAAAGCATTCATGGTGCTGTGTGGCTTCTTTGAGCTGCATATAGTAAAATTCAAGGGAAGATAAATGATGTAAAGATGAAATTTATCATTTAAAGGGAAGCAGAATAGAAATATTGGGAAAACTCTGAGACTGGTCATTAAAGAATAAAAAGTGTGTTTGGGAGAGAATACTAAGAGTGTGACCAAGCTGCTATTTGTTCCTCTTTTTATAAAAGCGAGAGTGAAAGACGATGAGAGGGGAGTGGTGAAGGGTGAGGAGGAATGCGGTAAAAATGAGGCCAAGATAACAGAAAGGTATGGGGTAAAGGGAAGGAAATGGGGCTGAAAAAAAATGAGGAAGAAAGGCAACGCACATTTATACCACCTTTCCTGGGGGCCAGAAGAATGCTAGGCATCTCCCAGGACAGAGGGCCCCATACAAAGGTAATTTCATTCATGAAAGGAGGCTCCATTTATTCATTAGTTCATCAGATGTATTTCGAAGCACTTCCTGTGCACCAGATACTGTGGTGACCATTGGTCACATGACAGAATGAAACCAAGGACAACGCCTGCTCTCACGGGGTCATGTGCACTGGGGCAGTGTGGAGTGCCATGGATGTTAGCTCACTCAATTCTCACAGCAACTCCAACAGACTAACAGAAGGTTATCGAGTTGCTCAAGGTCCCATGGCCCATCAGTGATCAAGAGGGCCTTTCGATGAGGATTTCCTTGGCTTTAAGTCAAAACCCACTGAGCAAAGGAAAGCCTTATGCTTTGAGAGGTCCCAGCATGAAGTACCCAACATTTTATGGGAATGGTACCAAAAAAATGCAGGCATCTGTGACAAAGCTGCCCTAGAATGGCCTCCGCTGGTACCTGGGGGCACCTTATATGGGCATTGAGAACATTAATTCCTCCTAAATTCAGGAGCTGAAGCTCAGGCAAGGGCTGGGGAGCTGGCGTTGGGGTTTGAGTGTGGGGGAAGATGTCAAGGAACCCATGTCCCTCTCCTTACCCCAATCTGGTCCCCAAGCCTCTGCCTTCCACGCTGCCAACCCCCACCAGCTCCTGAGTCTTGTCTCTCCAAACCCAAGCCAAGAGGCAGAAGGGATATGTGGCGATAGTCATGAGGTCTGTCCTGCCTCTCTAGTGTCCTGTGCTTGCTTCCCCTTCACCTTCCCCCCATGATTGTAAGTTTCCTGAGGCCTCCCCTGCCCCTCTGCTCCCCATTCCAGCTCTCTGGTTGGCCACCTGTTTTCCTGCTGAGCCCTAGGCACTCATCTCTTCCATCTCTGCTTCCTTCCTGGGCTTCCTCTTGTTTGTGGAGGACATTTCCCTGTCTCCGGGGTTCTACTTGCCCATCCGTGGGTTTGCAAAGCCTGACAGCCCCGCAGGATGGGCTTGGTCTTGCGGTCCCTCTGGAAGCTCAAATTCACAACAAAGAACTCACTTTCTTTCCCTGGATGAGCTGCTCCCAAGTTCAACACCTCAGTAAGTGCTCCAACATCCTTCCTGCCACTCCAGCAGGGGCCTCCTCCCCTTCCCCACACCACCCCCAAGCACAAAGAGGGTGTCCCCATCTCTGCCACTCCTACTTAGTCCTAGATTCTCATGCCTTCTGCCCACCTCGCACTCCCAAGCCCTTCCCCAGATGGTATCCAGGATGAGCACTTGAAGATACAGACCTGATTATCTCATTCTAACCAACCCACTCTTGCAGAGCTTGAGATTTTTAAAGCTTCTTTTTAGGCTTCCCTTTGCTAGCAGACTTTTCTCATTCGGATTCCAGCCTGTCTTTTCAAGCTTCAGGTCCTATACCTCTCCACAGGCCTCCGCTACACACATACACACACATGCACACACGCACATACATACACACCATACCCTGGCCATGCCCATCTAGTTACTCACACGTGCAGCCCCTGACAGAGTGCCGATATTTGCACTTAGGACATGACACTGATGCTTGTTACGTTTCTTAAACATACCGCAAGTATATGTTTTCTGTGCTTTTCCTCCTATTATTCCCTCTGTTGGGAACGTTGTCCTCCCTTTCAGCCTAACATAGTCCTATCCCTTCTCTTCAGGACCTGGCCCAACAGCGCCTCCTCCATGAAACCTGCTTCCCTGATGCGGCTCTTACATTTCCACCATGCAAAAACTGACAGTTCGTGCAGGAGGGAGCCATGCCGCTCTCATCCCCTGCCTCTGCCCCTGGTGCAGGGGACAGGTCCATTTGCTGCATGAGTGAATGAACCAACGTCTCAGCAGTTCCTGGTCACTCTTAAGGCTGGTCTCTCCCCGAGGAAGCCCAGGCCCCCAGCGTCACCGAGCTGTGCACACAGAGAGATACTCATCTTGGTGTCTGTCTGGCCCCAGCAGTTGGATGGTGTCACTAAGAAAGCCAGAGCTGCTTTGCCTGCTATCATTGCTGCTGAAATTCGCAACTCAAGCGTTAACATAACCAAGGAAACCTGGCTTCCCCCAAACACCCCCCACACTTAGTTTGAGAAATGGAGATGGAGCCAAAGTTAAGTCAAGACTCACCTGAGGAAGCCCCTGGCCCACCATCGAGGTCATGCCTGCCACTCCCAGGCCGCCCCTCCCAGGGAACGGGCTCATGCAGGGTTAAGGGGTAGCTGACTCCCAGTGGGTAACTGGACTTCTCTGGGGAGGGGGACAAAATCCAAGCATGGGCCGTTCTCACTTCAGACCAGGGGGACTGCACACTCTCCCTCCTTCCTTCTTGGAGGGAACATCTGCAGTTCAGGGACTTTGCAAAAATTTCACACTCAGGGCTAAGAGAAATTCTATTTCTTGGAGGATTCTAGTTTGGCTTAGAGGAGGTTTTTAACCCCCCTCCAGTTAAATGGACCAAGTATCTTGGAAATTACCTCACAGAGTCATGCCACCAACACCAAATGAGAGCCATCTGTACAGATGAAACAGTTAGGAGCTTTTGTGTCACCGCGGACGCAAATGTGTAGCCCATTCATTGTGAGAGGAGGCACTTTATTCCTGAGTTTCTCTTTTTTTTTCCTAACACAGAAGACGCTTCAGTCAGTGGGTAGGAAACAGGAAGGAACCCGTTGTTTTAAATAGCAGACAGCAGAGAATTGACTCATTATGGTCTGCTTGCTCAGAGAGTGTCAGCCAGAAGGCAGCCAGCCCAGCCCCCACAGCCCCCGAGACATGGGTCAGGGGGCATGGCTGGGATTTTCTCACAAGGAGTCTGAGAGAATCCTGTTCAAACCTCTTTCAGAGGGAACTGGTGAAGCCCTAGGTTTCTATCTTACTAAAGACTTCACCACACATGGCTGTCAAAAAAAAAAAAAAGAAGAAAAGACAAAAACAAAAGCCCCCGTAAAAACCTACAAGAATACCTGGAAGTCAGACAACATCCTGTGTTTCCCTTTCCTTCCCGAATGACTTGAGTAGGACAAACACAGTTGCAAGCCTCCTTTCTTATCCTGCCAGTTGCCTCTTTGCACTCTTCTGGGGTTTACAACAGTTGGCCCAGGGGTGTGAGGGAACAGACGGGAGCGGCATCTGCCGGGACAGAGGGCCCTACACAAACGTAATTTCATGCAGGGAAAATGCACCGCGCCTCCGCCTCCCCCGGGCTGCAGGGCCCAGGAGCCCAAGGGTTAATCTGTGTCAAATCCATCACTGTGACAGCCAAGCACACAAATTAGTCCTGCCCAAGCTGTCCCGACCTCTGAATTTAATTTTTTAAAAGTGCTTTGTATTGTTTCTGATGTTCAGATCGGAGGCCAGGTGTCGTGATGGCACCCGGGGGAGATGACAGGGTCAGGCCCTCGTGTACCGCGTCTCACATCGCCCTCCAACGTCCTGAGCCTTCTTTGTCAAAGCAGACTAAGAGCGACCTCATTTCCAACACGCAGGCCCAGGAACCTCGAAACTGACCTGCTGGAGTCTCCTGGCAAGCCTCACCAGCGGTGCTCCTGTGTCCTCCACACCATGCTTCTCCTGCACTTTGCAGACAACTGCTGATCCCCAAGGGCGGCAGGCGTGGCTGTAACCCCATCCATGGACGGACTACACACAGCCATGGGGGCTCATAGTTTTGAGGGAACGTGTTCCCTTTCCGGGTCCATGAGGGGGACATACCTTTAAGGGCAAGAATTTCCCGGGCGCCATGCCCCCCTCCCATCTCTCTCCATCCGGGAGATTCAGCGGTTTATGTTTGAATTTCGCCGGAACCGGAAGAAACTAAAAGTCACTCCAGCGGAAGTTCTAAGGAGCGCCTTTCATTGGCTCCCGCCCTTGGAGAAGGTGGGAGTTTCTCCCAGGATAAAAGTGCGTGCTCCCTCACCTGCGCCAGATTTTCCAGGTCTCTGGAGTCCCCTTCCACACTGTGGGAGCTCCCTCTGGGATTTTCCCCTCTGGAATCCCATTCCACACTCTTCGTGGAAGCCTTTCTCTTCTCCTTTCCTTCTCTTTTCTCTACCTAAATAAAATCACCTTTCTGCAACACTCTTTTGGGTCTGATACTCACTTTGCGAGCATAGGTGCAGCGAAAGCGGCCCCACCGCTTATTCTTTTAGTGGTTGGAGGCCAAGAACCCACAACGATCACCAGCATCCAAGAAAAACCCGGTTACAGTTTGACCTGAAACTGATGGTGACTCCCGTCCACCAACAGGAGTGGTCAAAACATCCTCTTTGGAGTATTAAGTGTTTGTAGAACCCTGGACATTTATGGCAGCAGAGTGGGTAGCAGCCTCAAGGAGAAATCTTGCCCTGCCATTGCCCATTTCTAAAATCACACCAAACAATTACGCTTCCCAGTAGAGTCCCCAGGCAATCCCAGAGACTGAGGAAGGCGAGTGCCTTCCACATTTCCATTTCTCCCAAGCCATTTTATATGCCTACAGGTGTCAGTATAAACCAAAGAATGTGCCTTGTCTCAGATGAAAAGTTAGAGTAACTGTATAATTTACTGTCTAAATCTGGACACTGTTGAGAGTGAAAAGGAGAGATATTAATAACGATGCCAGAATGACAGGTGTAGACGGTGACTGTCCCAGGCAAACTAGGACATATGGTCATGCTATGACTGTGAGCTCTAAATTGGTGCAGATTCCAGTGCTGGCCGTCCATTAGGTTTATTTATAATATAATACACAAGTGACCCTAGGTCCACAGGGTAGAGGGGGTTGAGGAGGGTAAGGAAGGTCAGCAACCATGCCTGTCTGAAGGCCATGTGAAAGTAGGGAATGGGGAGAAAGGGGATCAATTTAATCCAGAAAAAGCTGACTCTGCTATAGACGAGGAAATCCAGTTTCTTTTTCTTGTCTGAGTTCCTACTTGCTCTCAGCAAAAAAAATGAGTTCTGCCAACTCCCACTCCAGCTGCAAAACAGCAGAGTTCTGGGTCCTGAGGTTGGAATTCCAGGCCTACTATCCCCATTAGCTTCTCTGAGTCCATCAGAAAATAAGACCTCAGGTCTGCAACATTTACGTATCCTTGGTTTTCAGTCAAAAGGTCCAAGCAGATGATATTATCCTTCATTCCTTCTTACAGACAGTGACAGATCCACTGCTCAAAATCTTTTCACCACCCTGAGCAAGGCTATAGCAGGAGCCATCTTCTTCAAGGCCCTACCTGTTTAACCCAGCCAGCCAGAGATTTATAAAAGACAACTTCCTCTATTTCCACAGGTGAAAAAAAATCTAAAGTGGTCTATTTTAAATATTCTCCCCTCAGACCTCAAAGAATAAAAAACGTTTTTAACTTTTGGATGGAAATTTTTTTTATTCACTTAAAAAAGATTATCCCCTTCTAGAACAGAAACACTCAACTGGCCTACAAAATGGTATTCTATAACATGTCTTATCTTTATACTCAATCTGTAAGCAAAAATTATATTGAAATCAAATTGAAATGATCCAAAGTGGCTACAAAGATAAAATTATTCTTCCAGAAACACAGTACTATGAATAGAGAATTCAAGAAAACTCCTTTAGATATCATCTATATCACAACATATCACTTGAAAAAGAAAAAAATCCTTTAACCATAAAAATAAGAAACATATATTTTGCATTCTCATATAAATTCAATTGAATAATAGATTAGAGCTTAAAATCAGTTTTTGTCAGAGTCAGTTCTCTCATTATCACTCTTTCCTTTTTCCTGAATGAGGCTATTGTTAGTAGACTCATAATTTACTAGACTGCGATCTCCCAAAAGACAAAAGACTTTTCCTTTGTTCATATTTTTGCTTTTAGAAAGTATGTAATAAATATTTGGTAAGTATGTAAATAAAAAGTCATACTAAGCATCAAATTATAGCAATAAATATAAATGGCTTATATTTCTCCAAAGTCTCAGATTGAACTGAAAAAGTAAACTTCAATAATTTTCTGCATACAAGAGTTATATCTAAAACAGGCCCAGTGCAGTGGCTCACATCTGTAATCCCAGCACTTTGGGAGGCTGAGGCAGGCAGATCACTTGAGGTCAGGAGTTCAAGACCAGCCTGTCCAACATGGTGAAACCCCGCCTCTATTAAAAATACAAAAATAGCTGGGCATGGTGGCACATGCTTATAATTCCAGCTACTTGGGAGGCTGAGGCAGGATAATCAGAATTGCTTGAACCTGGGGGGTGGAGGTTGCAGTGAGCCAAGATCATGCCACTGCACTCCAGCCTGGGCAATAGAGCAAGACTCCGTTTTTTAAAAAAAAGTTATATTTAAAACAAAATGGCCCAAACATGCTAAATATAAAAGGATTGTGGTAGCCAAAAATAAGAAGAAACATGAACAAAGAGAAAAGAAAATTGGCAATATTAATGTGGCAGAAGTAGAATTTAAAGCAAATCATTAAATCAAAAAATCAAAAGAACATTTTTATATTTTCAAAGGTCAAATCAACTGGATTTGCCATGTAATTATTTATTTTGTAGGCTTTTGTTTGTTTGTTTAGGGGTGTGCAAAAAAGCCATTTGGGGATTTATGTATTCAATCTATTGTTTTGTGAGCAAAATAATCTGAAATATTCACCAAATATGATAGCAATACATAAAGTATGAAATCTAGAAAGACATAAATTATTGACCAAAAAAAAACAAAAACAAAAACAAAAAAAAACAATTGCCATGAGATGCTTTAATGGATCTGTGATGTATCCACAGCAGATAAAGTACATTCAAAGATAAAAGATTTGGGTGGTATTGATAATGAATTATATTATGTTGAGCTTTCCTTCTGGTTAGGATATACAAAATTCCAAGAAATCCTCGCTCTCACCTTAGCAACCAAAACAACCTGGATAAGCTAAACAATAGTTTTTCTGAACCCTAAAGAGAACTGAGCATGCAAAGTAACCTAAATGAATTCAAATCCCAAAAATAACAAGCTATTTGTAGGAGACAAGATTTCTAACCCTGTACTGCTAAAGTGTCAGGAGGAGGAAGACTCTCTGATAATGAGGATAAGGAGAAATCAACTGAATCTCTAAAAAACTTTTAACAACTGTGTATGGACTGGCATTCTATAGATTAGAGTTCCAGACAGAGAATTGGGCTGTTCCCCTCCAGTAATGCTTTCCACAAATTTCAACAGCTTATTGGGAGCAGTGTGCCAAAAGCTGAAAGGCAAGGCAGGAGAAATGAGAGAGATACTGCCTGAGATGTGTGAGTTCTCCATCAAGACAGCCAACCTATGAAGGTAGGGGAGTGGAGTAGGAAAGTCAAGAAAAATCAACATGAGGCACTCTGGACTTTTGGCTACCAAGAAAAGAAGGCAGAGAAGGACAGCTGAGAGAAATTGCTCCAAAAATTTCAGGCAGACAGAGATCTTCCCAGGTACAAAAAGCCTGGGACAAGACCAGAAAGCAAAGAGAATGCCTACAATTTCAAAATGCTGGTAAGTAAGGTGGTCAAGCTGTAAAGCTCAAAACGCTGGAAGCTCAGCTATAAAATTCTCCAGAAACTTACCAGTACTCAGACTGCCAAGGCCCAGAGAAAGTCCTGATTATCCTCTTAAAATATTGGCATCTATTGGTGAACCAAATCAAAATCAAGCTGTAATAAAATCCAGACCCAACCACACAAATTTTAACTCAGTTCCCCACTCTAGTAACCCTTCCTGGAGGTAATTATTATTTACTTCACTCTTTATTGTTCTTTTATACAAAATAGCTGGCATTAATCAAAAATAACAAGAAACATAAAGAGTGATGAAAATGTAATTTAGGATCAAGAGTAGAAACTGTCAATAAATGTAGACAGATTGTCTCTGATCCATATTTTGGAATTGTCAAAGATTTTTAAATAGCTATAGTAGGAATGCTAAGGAATCAAGTAGGAATGTGGAAAACATACGTGAAGAGACAGGGAATTTATAGAGACATGGCAACTATAAAATAATAAAATGCTAGAAATGAATTCAACTGATAGACTTAATAAGAGACTGGTCTTGCAAAGGAAGAAATCAGTAAACTTACAGACAGGTCAATAGAATTTTGTTAGTTTGAAACAAAGAGAAAAAACAAGGGAAAACAACAGAACAAAGAACTCGGGATCTGTGAGACAATCTCAAATATTATGCAGTTCCATGTATGTGTGACGGGAGTCTCAGAAGAGGGCAGAAAGAAGAGGGAAGAAACATATTTGAAGAGATAATGGTCAATGTTTTCTCCAAATCAATTCAAGGAACTCAGAAAATCCTAAGCAAGATGAATGAGAAGAAAACCACACCAAGGTACGTCATGGCCAACTACAGAAAATCAACATAGAGAGCAAATCTTCAGAGCAACTACCTGGAATTGCAGCCCTCTGGGAGGCCAAGGTAAGTGAATCACTTGAGCCCAGGAGTTGGAGATCAGCCTGGGCAACATGGCAAAAACCCATCTCTACAAAAAATACAAAAATTAGCCAGGCATGGTGGCACACATTTGTAGTCCCAGC